CCCAAAGTCACTTGCCATCCGTAGAAATAGGGTGCTTTGGGGTCTCTGCACCACTCACAAGGATAGAGCAACCCAGCAGCCCCTCTCAATAGGCACTCCCTCTTCTGCACTTTCTTCAGCATGCAAACTCTTGGGGGACCCCGCCCTTCTTGCTCATCCAGGGCTCCCCAAAAGCTTATTGCTGGTACTTTTATTATCCAACTTTGAACAGAATCCCCTCCCTCAAAAATACACAGCCCAATGACACATCTGTTTGGATCAACACCCATTAGCTGCAACCCATAACCTCTCTCCCTGCACCCCAAAATTCTCAGAGGTCCAATCCACCTCCAAAAAAGTCAATCTGCCCCTTAAGCTCCTTTATTTTGGACCTGACAGCTCTACTATGGTCTCCCCAAGACATCCACATATTTCCAGGACACCCGCCACTCCCCAAAAACCACACTATCTCCAAATAGTCAGACCTTAGACCCCCTTTCTTCCTCCTCCTCCCCCTGTAAAAGGAACTTAAGATTGTGAAGTGTGAGAAATGTGAAGGAAGTGATTGTGAGGGACAGTAAGGCAAGGAATTTGGAGGAGAGAAAACACACACCCTGGTTATCCCCCCCCCCGCGCCCCCCAGTCCTCATACCTCATTTGAGACACACACACAATATCCTACTCCCCTACATCATATATGCACATAACCCCTCTCCTTCAGATAATATATATGCATACATAAATGTATAATCTTAATTCCCTACATTATACCTATTTCTATACACTATAATCCCACTCCCTCACATTATACATGCATATAAACCCACTCCCTTACAAAATATATGTATCACTTCCCTACATTATAGCTATACATGATAATTCCACTCCCTCCCTCACTCTCTCTCTCACTCACTATCTATATATATAATGTACAGATAGAGAGATAATGTGGGTAAGTGAGGGGTATTGTGTGGAGAACTGTGATATTATATACATATATATAGAGAGAGAGAGTAGGATTGTCGTGTGTGTGTGTGTGTGTGTGTGTGTGTATAGTGAGTAGGACTGTCTTGTATATAGAAATATAATCTCACTTCCCTACATTATATCTCAATAATGATAATCCTATCTGTACACAATAATCCCCCTCCCACACTCTATCTATATATAATCTCACTTCCCTATATTATATCTCTATGATAACCCTACTCCCTCACAATATAGATACATAAATAGATATAATATCATATATGTTCCCCAAATTATATCTCTATTCATGCTAATCCCACTTCATCGCTTTATATACTCTCACTGCCCTACATTATATCTCTATCTATAATCAATAATCCCACTCCCACACAGTATATGTGTGTATGTATGCGTGTGTATATATCCTATAATTTATTTATTTATTATTCAGAGTTTTTATAACCCGGTCTTCTCAACCTCCAGAGAGGGACTCAGGCCGGCTAACAACAGAAGATTCAATACAGCAAGATAAAGCAAATATCCATCATCAATATAAAATACATTAAAATACAATTCATACAATTTACAAAACAGTCAGTTCGTCAGAGTGAAATCACATAATCCTACTCCCTCACTTATATTCTCAATTCTCAACATTATATATCTGTCCAAGCACTATAATTTCAGTTCTGCACCTAATATCTTTATCTATACTCAATAATCCCACTCCCACACAGTATGTGTACATATCTATATACATGGTAATCCTACTCCCTCACTAGAACAGCCAGAAAATGGAGGGCAAAACTACTACCACTGGATCAATTTTGACTAATTCTCGGATTGGAGGCCATGTGACAACTCTAACTTTTTGCCAGGGGTCTCACTCAGGTAATGGAGCCATCCAGCTTCTTGGAATTGAAGCTTCAAAAGTTCCCAAGTCACCTAGGATTCACCCTATTCAGAATAGATGATTGGATCAAAAAGACGATGGCTGTGTGGTTGGCATGCATCATTTTAATTCAAGAACATAGTCAATGTTGGCATATGCCACTGTGAATGGTTCTTTAGTGAGATGGGACCTGAGATCCTCTAATAATGCTTAGACCTTAAAGCATTATTTATGGTTGGGACTTATAACGTCATTTGCTGTTGACATAAAAATCTATCTATACACTCCCTCACATAATATAGACATAGAACTCCACTCCTGTGAGCCTCGCCCCTTTTTATATTATTATTCTGTCCTTAAGCGATAGATAGATATTTAGATAGATAGACAGAAAGATAAATAGACAGGCAGATAGACATACAGACGGGCAGATAGATAGATAGATAGATAGATAGATAGATAGATAGATAGATAGATAGACAGACAGACAGACAGGGAAGCAGACAGACAGACAGACAGACAGGCAGATAAAAAGATAGATAGGCAGATAGATTGATAGAAAGATGGACAGAAAAACAGACAGAAATAAATATAAATAAATATGAAGATAGGTAGACAGAGAGAAAAATAGATAGATAGGCAGACAGACATTAGATAGATAGATAGATAGATAGATAGATAGATAGATAGATAGATAGATAGACAAATAGATAGATACATAGTTAAATAAAGGTTTTCCCCTGACATTAAGTCTAGTCGTGTCCAACTCTGGGGTGTGGTGCTCATCTCCATTTCTAAGCTGAAGAGCCAGCGTTGTCCGTAGACACCTCCAAGTTCATGTGGCCAGCATGACTATGTGGAGCGCCATTACATAGTTAGATAGGCAGATAGATAGGTAGGTAGATCAATAGATAGATAGATATAAATAGATAGATAGGCAGATAGATAGATAGGTAGGTAGATAGATAGAAAGATGGACAGAAAAACGGACAGAAATAAACAGAAATGAATATAGGCAGAAAGAGAGAGAGATAAATAGGTAGATAAATAGGTAGATAGCTGGTCCGAGTCCCGCCACTGAGGTAGAGAAGATCGGGATAGAAAAGTTTTAAATAAATAAATAAATAATAATAGGCAGGCAGACATTAGATAGTCAGACAGACAAATAGATAGATAGATAGATAGATAGATAGATAGATAGATAGATAGGAAAACTGACAGAAGATAGATAGATTGATAGAGAGAAACAGATAGATGGATAGACAGATAGTTAGAGAGATAAATAGGTAGATAGGCAGATAGATAGATAAACAGATAGAGATAGATAGATAGATAGATAGATAGAAAAACTGACAAATAAAAATAAATAGAAATGAAGTTAGATAGGCTGATAGAGAAATAGACAGACAGACAGACAGATAGATAGATAGACAGATAGATAGGAAAACTGAAAGAAATAAAGATAAATAGAAATGAAGATAGAGAGAGAAACAGATAAGATAGATAGATAGATAGATAGATAGATAGATAGATAGATAGATATAGATAGAATAGATAGATAGATAGATAGATAGATAGATAGATAGACTGGCAGAAATAAAAATAAATAGAAAGAAGGTAGATAGGCAAATATTCAGAGAGAGAGAAAGATAGCTAGATAGATAGCTAGATAGATAGATAGATAGATAGACAGACAGACAAATAGATAAGTACATAGATAGACAGATAGTTAGATAGGGAGATAGATAGATAGATAGACTGACAGAAATAGAAATAAATAGAAATGAAGATAGACAGGCAGATAGAGAAATAGATAGATAGATAGATAGATAGATAGATAGATAGATAGATAGATAGATAGATGATAGATGGCAGAAAAACTGACAGAAATAGAAATAAATAGAAATGAAGATAGATAGGCAGATAGAGAGAGAAATAGATAGACAGACAGACAGGCAAATAGGCAGATAGATAGATAGATAGATAGATAGATAGATAGATAGATAGATAGATAGGAAAACTGAAAGAACTAAAGATAAATAGAAATGAAGATAGAGAGAGAAACAGATAGATAGATAGATAGATAGATAGATAGATAGATAGATGACAGACAGACAAATAGATACATAGATAGGCAGATAAGCAGATAGATAGATAGATAGGCTGATAGATAGATAGATAGACAGATAGGCTGATAGATAGATAGATAGATAGATAGGCTGATAGATAGATAGATAGATAGATAGATAGATAGATAGATAGATAGATAGCCAGAAAAACTGACAGAAATAGAAATAAATAGAAATGAAGATGGATAGGCAGATATGCAGAGAGAAAGATAGAGAGAGAAGAGAGAGAGAGAGAGATAGAGAGATAGATAGATAGATAGGCAGGCAGGCAGGCAGGCAGGCAGGCAGGCAGGCAGGCAGGCAGGCAGACATTAGATAGATAGATAGATAGATAGATAGATAGATAGATAGATAGATAGGCATGCAGGCAAATAGATAGATACATACTTAGGCAGGCAAGCAGACAGATAGATGGACAGAAAAACTGACAGAAATAAAAATAAATAGAAATGAAGATTGACAGATATACAGAGAGAGAGATAAGTATACAGACATTAGATAGATAGATAGATAGATAGATAGATAGATAGATAGATAGATAGATAGATAGGCAAATGGATGGATACATACTTCGATAGACAGGCAGGAAGAAAGATAGATGGACTGACAGAAATAAAGATAGAAAGACAGATAAAGTGATAGGCAGATAGATAGATAGATAGATAGATAGATAGCCAGAAAAACTGACAGAAATAGAAATAAATAGAAATGAAGATAGATAGGCAGATATGCAGAGAGAAAGAAAGATAAATAGATAAGCAGGCAGAAATCAGATAGATAGATAGATAGATAGATAGATAGGCAAATAGATACATACATACTTAGATAGACAGGCAGGCAGAAAGATAGATGGACAGACAGACAGAAATAAAGATAGAAAGACAGATAAAGTGATAAGCAGATAGAGAGAGAGAGAGAGAGAGAGAGACTATATGCTTGTCCTTAAGGAGCAAAACCCTATACACACACTCACACACAGACTCAGAGGAGCCATGACAGAGTGAGCCTCCCTCCCTCCTTCACTCACTCAC